TAGGATAAAATCCCCTTCTACGTGTGCCAAATTAATTAGATCCTTAAATAAAAATCTGAATGGAATAATTCAACTACAAGCAAGAATATTTTTATCAAATTTTTGCTTGAATTGATAACTTGTAGCTGGATTTTGAGGAATAAAAACACATGAAATAACAAAATGAAGGTTTTCAAAAATTGGTTTTAGTATTGGTAAAGCTGTGAATTTTATATTCGAACCGAATGTGTGTTAAGATTTAAAACCTTATGACAATTAATTATAAACTGGTAAATATAATTGAGTATTTATTTTTGTCCTACATCTATCTACTATAGGTTAATTTTTTTACAAATGAGACGAACATAGATATGTTTTCACAGACATCATGACAAGATTAGACAAACCTCTGTTGTGGTAATGTAACCAAGAAATAATCATTGGGGGCGTTTTGTGTAAAGTGCACATTTATGTTAACTCCACAGCACATATTACAAAAAAACCTTTTTGCGTTTCAACCCATTTTCAGCTTGGGATCTCCGTTTCCTCCTGATCACACCTCTTCAACTAACTCTAAAACTAAAACAGCTAAAATTGCATCCACTTGATAGAAACTCACATTTAAATGTCTTTATTTGTGGGTTGTTTACTTCTTACAAATAGGGCTAATCTCACAGCGAGCGTCCACACTTTGTTACCAGAGTTTGATCACATAAGATAAATTAGACGAGGATTTGTTTAAAGTTATGGTTATAAATCAACAAAACTGCCTAAAGTCTCAAGTTATTCTCAATTTTCAAGTTTTTCAAAACTCTTCTTCTGTCAAAGATCACCATTTAAAAATACACAATTAAAACCTCTAAGCAATGTTACAGTAATAACTAAACCCAGTTCAAAACAACTTCTGGCTTTCTTTTAAATTGAATTAGAGGAAAGCTTTTGAGAGTTTGTTGTAAAAAACAGGAACAAAATACGCAAAGCCCTTTTTGAATTTTGTGATGAACCTTGCTATACCGAGAACTCCCCAGAGATCCATTCTGCGAAGAGTATGTCCCAGAGGCACTGGGCTCTCCAATAATGAGGTGCGAAAAGAAAATTTAAAGTAAAACATATTTTTTTACCAAGAATATTCAGAATGACAACAAAACTGTCTCTGCTATCTTAACTTTGAGCAACAAATCCATGACAACCGTCCAGGAAAATTAGTGTTTACAATCAAATATCGCTGTGCCTAAATTATGGAGAGTAGTACAAACAGAGTAGATGGAGAGGAGGAGAATGGAAGTGGAGAAACTGTACAGTTCCAGCGGAAAGATGGAGTAGAGAAGGACGGATATATCTGCTTCCCTGTGGAGGCTGAAGAGGAAGTAGTGGTGGAGGAGGAGAAGGAGATAGAGGACGTTGAGCATGAGTTCTCTACTTGTCCAGAAGATCCTAGGTAATAGAGGATTACAACTTGATTATATAATTGCAAGGGATTTTTCTGAAAAAAAACTATTATTCTCATTATATAGATCAAACATTGAACATTTTTCCAATCGTCAGAATGAAAGCATACAGTGTAACCATTACATTGTAATTGCAAGTATACAATGGGGTTTTGTTTGAATTGGGTGTGGAAATAACACTACTGTTTTAAAAGGTTGGCATATTGATGGTATATTCTACACTCATTTGGGTTAAAATACGCACCCAGGTTTAAACCTGGGGATCTCAAATAATTGATTAATTGAATGATATGTTGACAAATATAACCACTATGCACCTCAAAAGGTGGAAGTTACACACAGTATACACACTAAAGTGCAAATTACATCTTATATGGGTGTTACTTTCCAAAGGAGTGTTTTTCATCTCATTGGCATTGTTTTAAACGATTTTAAGTGAACAGTTCAATCCATGGTCTTATTACTTTCACAGAGAAGTAAGGTACAGATGAAAAAATCAATGGTACACTTGTGGTGTACCATCTCATGTACTACAACCCTCATGGTGTAGGAAGACCCTGAGCGACAGGAATCTCTACCATTGACTATATAACACTATACAGTATAGTCAATGTCTCTACACAGCACTCGCCATTAGGGCTCTTCCTTGCTCGTCACAAGTATATTTCCACGCCAACATACTACAGCTCAAAGTGCTCAGTCGTCCCATAAGTGAGATTCCTCTGTACCTTACTTCACTGTGTTACAACATCATTAATTGATAGCACAATAACAAAACGGTCTTTGGGTTCAGAATAACTCCCGAGATTGGAACTAGTAACTTTCATACTTAAAGGGGGAGGATAACCACTCGGCTACTTGGACTGTAGACTAGAAGTAGTCCAATGAGTATGGCTAATAAAGAAGTAATCAATGAATTCACCAAAAGACCATTTAATAAATCTCAAACGTTTAATTGCATAAAATTAAAATACTTCAATACAATCTATTTAAAGACGTTAGAGTGAATTTATTGCATTTATTTGGAGATAACAAACCAAAGTTTATAGTGTTTCAGAAGTACCTACATTAAGGTCAAAGGTTTGACGACCAAGAGTGTTTAAACATTTTGGAAAGGTTTGAATAATTATAGAATATTCAGTACCTATTAATTAATTACAAATACGTAACAATAAAGATTACTTTCTTAAAATTTTAACGATACACATTAGAATATACACTTTTATTGTTGTGCAACAAATAAGAACAACAATTGAAATTAAAAACAAATGTTTTCATTACATTTATTAGGGACTATAAACCTGTTAGATAAGATATAAGATAATTTATTTTCAAAAAAATGGCAAACACAGATACATACACAGTGGCTTTAGAACAAAAGTACAAGGATATAATTCCCACAAAGACTGTCCATCTGTGTGTGTTCATTTTGAAGATAATTTCAAATTGATTTACTTTAAAATAAATTGTTACCTAACAAATAAATAAATAGTCACTAACAAGACTACAAGATCGCGCCACTCATCCCACACTCGATCTCCATTCATACTTGGCTTAAAATACCTACTTTGTATGGTCGCCAATTCAATGAAAAGTATTAAAGTATCATTTTTCACTGTTTGTTAACTTACCTAAATAAGAACAGGTTTACTGCATTAGAAACTAAACTGAAGTTACATTTGCAACAATATAACACCTACAACAATTTTCTAGATTCCAACAGACCAATAGGACCAAGTGGTGTTACCGGATGTACGTGGACTACCAGTCCTGTAGACACCTGTTGGGTGAGAATGCTAAACAGTGTAACTACTTCTACCGCTGCTACAACTCAATCTGTCCCAACGCTTGGATCGAGAAATGGGACGAGCAGAGAGCAGAAGGGACATTTCCTTGCGACACCACCAAGGACTGCCCCAACCTAAACGCTAAATTCGAAGAGCAAAAACCTTGTCCTTAAAGTGTCTTTTGGGTGTTTCTGTATGTTCACGTGTTAAATAAATAGGGTCTTCCTGTCGTGGTTTTGATTTTTTTTCTCAGTTTATTCATATACCTGGGGACCGAGCCATTGCTCGGTATAGTATATTTCCATTGTGCCCCTATATTGAGTAATCTTCAGTGTAATATTTGCTCAATAGTAACAACTGATATTTTCCCTTTGTACTGTATTTTGTAATTTGCTAGTATACTGTGAATGGCTTGTTATAAACACATGTTACAAGTCTTTTGTTTACTTTTTCCTTGCTATATTGTTCAACTAACTTGGTTATTTGGCAACATAAGGCCATAACATTAAAAGATGTTGACTTTCAATTTAATTTTTACGTGATTAGATTTTTATTGACAGTTTTAACTGCATTACAGCAAATTTTTTGAAAGAAATTAATTATTTACAACATTTAAAGGAAATAGTCAAAGCCGTTTTCGAGATATTTGTGCAAGCAAGCACACAGGCATAACTTACATACATACAAGCAAACATTGCTCATATAAGAGTATAGGATAAAACATCAGTTTTGAGAACCTCTTAATTTTGTTAAGAGTTTGAATGTTAGGTGATTTGTTAAAGGGTTAAAAGAAATTTGATGAAAAAAATGTTCATTGCAATGCCAATTAATTAATTTGACACTTAAAACTAGCTGTTAACACATTAGCTACCAACTATACTCAACCCTCAGTTACAAAGGAGTGTGACGGTCGGTAGGGAACGTGTTAAACTATTTGTTTTTAAGCCCTACAAGATGGCTGTAATGGAAATTTGGCATTATGGGGTAAAAATGTGAAAAAACCACTTTTTGAAAAATTTTAAAAAACCCAAAGCATTCTCTTCCCATTTTCCTAAACTTGCTGGTTCACAAACTCATTCGAGGTTATCCCGTCCGACACATTCATGCTAAACTAAATCAAAACGGGACCAAAATTGAGTGTTCATGTTTTCAGACACACATATATGAAAATTTGTTTCTGGCCTCTGGGGACAGAATTAAAAAAGTAAATCGAGATCTTATCGTGCGACCTAAGACAATAGTGGTAGCTTATTCTCTAATTGGAAACTAGCTAATAAAATAATAATTCAAAATTCTTAAGCCAAATTTGGTCTGTGTCGGGACATGGTTAATTTTCTCACATTAAAACCTGAAGGCAAGGCACTGATTAGTGATTCCATCCTTAGTGGGACCCAAAAACCTTTTTGCCACCAACGAAGGGTCAAAATTAGATACTAATCAGACCAGGGTTTGGGCAGTTTTCTACAAAAATGTAAAAAATGTCAATGGATTAAAAACTCATATGAAATGTTCAAGTGGCGTACACCACAAAAAAACGTTGATGTATTCATATTTTTAAATGAAATACACCACTACAAAGTCTGGTACACTGTGTCAAGTATACAGACAACATAATTTCGAATCAGAAACCAACATTACACAAAATGACCATTTATATTTCTAAAAAAATTGCAACATTGCACTCAATATTTTGTTACATTTTCATGGGTGCAGATTGTGATGACGCTCTTGGGAGAGGTCTGGCAGAGTGATCCCTTATCACTCATTATCTACTGAGCAGAAGATACATATGGGTCAGTCGCCCACAGTCTCCCAGCGAAGTCTACATCAATGTGTTGTGTGTTGAATGATTGTTTATGAAACTGTGCACAATTTTCTCGATTAGCGTGGATCTGGATGTAATTGATTTTCTTATAAAAAGGTATGCCTAGTTAAAATGATTAAGTTGCATATTTTTATTACTGGATCATCATGTCATTGAATGATTTGCAAAAGAAGGGAGGATATAAAGGAAATTGATTGTAGGATATTTTAATGTTGAAAATTAGGTTTAAATAATAAAAGTACCGTGATGGGCCTTACACAATCAGACTCTGATAGAAATTTGTATGTAAAACTGTGAATCCTCACAGTTGTTTGTATGAGCTAGATACAATTTAATATGTCAAAGAGCATGATAATGATATTTTGGTTTAGACGAATAACTATTATAACACTCGAAATAGAGTCATTTTTGACTAACATAATTTACAGTGTTACAAAAACAAAACAATTTATAGAAAAATATTTTTTTGTAAAGTTGCTAAATAAAATTATAAGAGAACCAAATTAAAACTCATTCAAATGCAACTTGAACAATTATTTGATAGACAAAGCCTTGTACCGTACTCATTTAAAAATGTAAGCCTACCTGAGGACTTCATACCAACTCAAAAAATCTTGTTGTGTTTTTATATCACCTTTTAAATATTTTTAGTTATTACTTTGTATATATAAATTCAAATTTATTTAAAAAAAAAAAAAATTGAAATCTTACTACACATTGTAGTCTGCTGTAGAACAAAGAATAATATTACATTAAATTTTGCAAGTTTGATTAAACCTAATTATGATAGTTGTTATATAGGTGGTTTCTTATAATATTAATAGAAAATTTTATGGCTGTTAAAGATATTAAATATAGCACTTGATTTTCCAACTTGAATTTCTTCCAAAATTTCTCAACTTGTTGAGGAATTGTTCCTCTTGATCCAATGAGTAGTCCATATACTTCGAATTTTGATATTTTATATTTCTCTGAATAATATGGGATAGTTTTCTTGTAAATATTTACTTTTTCTTCATGGACTTCCTGTGGCTGATTTTCATTTGTCTCAAGACGAACTGTTGGGTCTATAATGAGACCGAAATCTTTCTCCTTGTCTATAACAATGATGTCACTCCGCCTCACAGAGCCCTCTTCTTCTATAGCCGTGACCTCTTCATAGACCTCGTAACTTTTCTTTCTGAATTGATCAGCTATGATTTTAAAGAGATAACAATTTAACAATTGACCATTTCTGATTGACAAACTTATTTGATACTCTATTGTGAACATAGGTTTACTTGGAACTAGGCTTGAACTGTAATAGAGTTAAAAAAAGTTCCAAAAAATATCCCTGGCGTTGATGGTAGGAAAATTAATAAACATCAGAAAGTTTTCCTGAAGGACTTGAACAAGATGATAAACTATTGCCAAATGATCCAATATGTTTTTCAACGTGTATGGTCCAAACAAACGTTTAAAAACAGTAAAAACTAGCAAAATCATAGCACCCTAGGCAGATTACCTTTTTTAAAACGCCTCTTCCAAGATAAACATAAAAAACTTAACAGTATAAAATTTTGCTTTGAAAATTTGACACTTTTTATACATACATATTATACATGGTGTATAGTAATTACTATTGAACTAAGATTGGTTTAACTGTAGAAATTAAGTGAACTTATTTAAAGCATACTATTTTAAAGGTTTAATAAAAATTTTATCTTTAATTTTTATTTTTTCAGATAAAAACAAAGAAGTAAGATGCGGATTGACAATTTTGAAGTTCATTCCTGCTGCTTTTTTATACCTTTAAGGACTGGAGCCAAACTATTTGGATTTATATCTTTGGTTAGTATATTATCAACTTATAAATCTTGTGAGTTTCTAGTTGAGTAGGTTGGATCTAAATTAGCTTTTAACATTATGTAGTTTGACTTCAAAAGAATATCATTTCAGAAAGCTATGATTTCAATCAAACCAAAAGCTACAACAGTAACACTAAAACTCTGTAGCTGATTCAAAAAGTACCTACCATTAATATTCAATTCAACAAACATAAGACTGGACAGATGCCATATGTAATTGGGCCACAAATAAATAATGCTATCTAACAAAAGATGGACATTAGATGGTAACAAGACCAGTGTTTGGACCATTCCCTTATAAAAACATAAAAATACCAATGGCACAGAAAACACAAATAAATTAGAACATGTTGTGTGTAAAATTAGGATCTGGAACCTAATTAGCTTTAAGTGTTGATAAAAAATGTTAAAATAATTGTTCAAACTAATTTTGATAAAATGTTTCAGGTGGGTTGTCTTGTGGCAAGTTTCTTTTCATTCGCGGAGTTGGTGTATGAGGCGAAACATCACAGTACGTATTATATCATATTCTATTATTAAGAGGGTCTTTTTTAAGTAAGAGTGCGTCCTCCATAAATATAACTGTATTGATTGACGTAAGTTGTACTACTTAATAATTATTACTTAATTGAAATTTGTCAAAACCCTCTGTCCCCAGGTTATATAGAGTGGATGTTAGTGCTGGAGCTGGTTGCATTGTTGGTACAAATGGGCACATCAGTTCTTCTTCTTGTTGGAACATATCAGGTGAAATTTTGATTATTGTAGTACACAACTTTGAATTGTATCGGCAACAGCAGCCAATTTTTAACTGCATTAGTAGCAAAAACGGACAAATTTCCATTTTTTTTATTGAAAAGATAGTATGGTAAATTAATTTATAATTGTATGAACACAAAAATTAAAAAATTAAAGGTGTTAAAATACATTATCTACAGGCTGATTTTGAGAAAATGGTAATGTATTTTTTATTTGCGATTTTCTTGCTAAAACACTTGGAGTTTTTTAAATAATATTTTAACACCTTCTTTTATCAGCTAATTTGCATTAAATTTGTGTTGAAGAATGGTATTTAGGGTAGTAGTTACACTCTAAAAATAATAACGCTAAGAGTTTTATGAATCTTGTCGACATGTGCAAGTTTTATGTATCTCCGTAGACTTGACTTAGATTTACAAACTTGATCAAATGAATGGTGTAATAAAGAGTTACTTCACATGATTACACACTGCTTCTTAGGAAGGAAATAAATAATGTTTTTATTTACATTGCAGATTTATGATAATAATATTGTTGCTTTATTCTAAACAACACGCTAAATCCTATAGCGATTATTTTGAGTATTTATTGCACTTTACACTTTTTTCCCTTTTTTTCCAAGACGCTAGGCACGAACCCTAGATTGTTTTTCACATTACTTCAAGCTAGACCTAGGGGTTGCGGCATTATCACTTAGATAAAATCCATTGGTGATTTGGCGGGATTTGAACCCAGGACCTCAGGGGCCAAAGTCCCACGCTCTAACCACTAGACCAGCTCGCTCCCCCATATTATTTCACTTGGTAAACTTTTATAAAAAATGCTTACAGTTTTCTACTACTCTTCCTACTATTTTGCTTCCTTAATTGATCCTAATCTAGCCTACACTTTTATTAACTCACTTGATGTTGATGCATGGTTGAATATTATGACACATTTCAATTAAAAGTTGCTTTGTGCAGTATGCAAACTACAAATTAGAAGGATTTGTTCACTTTAGTAAGGGTTTAACAATACGGGGGACAGGAGCGACAATTGTTGCCAAAAAGTTTAATTTTGTTACATTACAATTCCAATGTAAACAGGGCTTAAAACAAGTGCTGTAGTGTAAACATATGTTCTGACTACATAAGATAACAAAATTTTGGTTGTCAACACTAAAAAACTCAACATCGAATATAGTATTTAGCAAAAAAAACTAGCGTTCTTTGGATTGTTGCAAACTTCCCCTACATGACTGACAGGATCTGTCTCCACTTGTATTTACAGGAGGTGCAACTACTCATAAATCCAACTTGTTTAATTTTCATTCTGAACAAATTCAACTGTGGTTTATTCAATTTAGTATAGTTGATGCTGATGACAAATTTGTAATACTTCCTTTTATTGTTCACCAGGAGCAAGCTAAGCTGATTCCTCCGTGGCTCATATCCACATTTGTCTCGGCTGTGTTAGAGGTGTTCTTCATGCCTTCTGTGGTAGGAGAGATTGTCGGAGTACGCCACAGGACTATCACTCAATGGCTAATTTTTACTATCTTCATGCTATGTAAGTCTCCAAATACTAACATTTAAACAGATAAATAAATGCTAATTATAAATTCTTTCGCTAGGTTGGCCACATCATTGACAGTACAGCACATAATTTTATTTTATTTTGTGTCTATGTAAATAGCATTTTTCATTTTTTTTTTTTTTCATTGTAAGTGAACGGTTTAAACTTTGGTTTTGTTTGCTATCTTAAGTCGACCTTTATTGTATATCATCATTAACTGATAGCCTAGTGACAAATGTAGTCTAGATCTGGAAACAATCTAGCCAATATCGAACCACAGCAACCTTCGGATTTGAAGGCAGGCACTATACAGTCTGTAATATCAATATCAAGGACCATCTGAATGGTAGGAACAATCAATGTGAAAATTATCCGAATTTCTGTACAATTGAAAGAAACTCTGTAAAAGCAGTAAAAATATATACATGGTCTTTCATATTGCAAAGGTTTAATTTACTTCTATTTCTAATTAGGGTCTCCTCCATTGAGCTCCCGTTCCAGCAAAACAAGCAAGTTAAAATCTGAAACCAATTTTGTGTTCCTTACTTTACCCACTACTATTGTAGCCGGTTTCAACCTCAATGGCATGATAAGTCTTGTCATAGTATTTTGGAAACGTCAATAAAATTGATGCTCCTGCCATGTAATAATCCCATTATGTGATAAGATTTCTGAGGGTTCTGTCTCCAGCCGTTATTGACGTCCATCGCCAGTTGAAGGACATGAAAGCTGGGACACTTTCATAAATGTGCCCAGTGAGCTTGGGCCCAGGGTCGCAAGAGGTTTTAGGTTTGCTGGGGGCACAAGAAAGAGAAAAATCCCCTAGCAAGGAAAGTGGAGAGAGGGTTAATTATCTCTCAGTCGCAAAGCGTTGAGCAAACCTCAGGCCTGTGTGAATGGAGTGAAGTTTGGGCTATGAAAATGTGTCCAAAAGTTGGAAGGAGTTTAAAGATGGGTTAAACATTTGTACGTCCAACTTCTGTCATTCATTAATCTTGTTTGAAGTAATAAACGTTGGGGAATTTTTCATGTGAATTGTGGCGTGACTAAACAAGATAGATTGTCAAACTAATAGAGGATGTTTATATAACGGTAGCCTCTCCAACAGTACTATGGTAAGCCCTTGAAAACTGAAACACGCTGATCAAGTGTCTTGTCTTTGAAGTGTCTTCAAATTCAATCCGTGTTTCAATCGAAACTCAATGAACACCCACTGTCGGCCCTGTTGTGCTAACATGTACAGTATGACATTATAATATCTTCCTAACTTATGCACATTTTCTACCTCAAAACACTTTTCATACATGTGTTATATGGCAGTAGTAATTAACAGAGTGATCCCTTTCCTACAAGAGCATAATTAATTGCAGGATTGTGATTCATACTTGGTGTTGGGGACAGCACCCGTTTTCTCTCAAGATTTCAAATACTATGACGAGAATAATCTAAAGTGATGAGAAATTGGCTAAAATAGTAGTTAATGAAGTAAGAAACAAGACGTTTGTCTCAGACTTAAATATCTCGCTTGGCTGCGACGGGAGCTCGACTACGGACAACACTCGTAGATGTAACATGATTATTTTTCAGTGGATGATATCTATGGGCTACTTGTAGTCTTCAGTTACTACCGCAGTTTGTCCCCTCTACGGCAACAGAGCTTGGTATGAATATTATTTTTCTTAACTCGTACTTTTTGAGTAAGCTACACAAAAGTGCAATATAAAGTGATGATTGTATTGAATTATATTGTATAAAGTTTACCCTTTGCCTGTATAAATGAGTCAAAATGTATTTTTATAATTTAGCAATAATAATAATGTTTTATACAAAACATTACTTTAAATTATTGAATACCTTCCTAATTCCCCTACATCTAAATATAAGTTAAGAATAAAATTTCTTTTAATTTATAAAAGACTTGTTATAAAAAAAACCCGCTATTTAAAGTTATGTAGCTAATAAACAATAACAACACAAAAAAAGAAATACAAGGTTTAAAACAAAATGATTGCTAAATATTTTTTATAATATGGACAAATGAATAATGGTTTCACTGAAGGGAAGGAAAATGAGAATTCTGTTGAACTTGAACTAAATTCTGCTGAACAAAGTTATCTGGACGGATGAACCCCACTCTTATCAGTGATAAGAGTTTCAAGGCCATATACAGATGCCCAGCTGACTAATAATGTAGTCTACAACAAGCATTGAACTCCTGATTTCTTTCATGATCCATAAACTCATAGACACTTAAAATTGAATTAATCCTGCATTGAACTAGGGATTACAAATATGTGTGCAAGCAATCATTTTCCTCACTTTTCATCATATTATTTCAAAATAGTGCATACAATAATTTTTTTGTATCAATTTTTATAAACACATATTGAAATAAATTATTCACGTGAGATTAATAATTTTGAGTCAGAAATTATTTAATAAGATGAAAACAATGAGTTCGATAGGATTAGAAGTTGCAGGGTATGTGTGTATTAAATTTGCACCACCGTGATTACCTCAAATCAGGAAAGATATCACGTGTAAACGGTAAAAATTGTTAAAAGTCACTTACTTAGGCTTTTTAATTTAAAGAAAACCCCTTGAATGAAGTAAAAGTTCTTATTTAATTTTAACTAATTTTGTTTTAGGTCTGAGTTAGAGGTAAAAATCTAGAGGACAAAACAAGGGAGTGTTTTTGTTTTAAAAAATCTACGTTTTTGAAGTTGGGACAAAAATTGTACGCAAGACACTACTTTGCTAATACATAAGACTTGATTAAGAATTTGGCTGAATTATTGAAAATAATAAATAAAGCGCCATCTAAAAATATTTGTTGTTACGCCTGACTAGCCAACTGCTCGTGAACTCTACTGAATGTGTGCATCAAAGGTTATTCGTAGTATAAAACCCCTCGGACCAATGCTGGAATGTCAGATGTTGGTCTAACGAGGTTTTATTGTAAAACTTTTTATTGGTACTACATGCCAATATTGAATTAAATCTATAGTTCATTCTTTAGCTTCATACAACTGATCAGATGGTACCAATGTGAGGTCAGGTGATCCCCTCACTATTTTTTTGTCAATACTTACTAAAGAACAGCTTAAAATAAATAACTATCAAGAAAGGAATAATGTGCAAAATCTGTGTTTATTCATAATAACCATACAATTCGAAATATAAACAAACTAACAATAATAAGATCTAAACAACTTATAAAAAATCAAAAAAAGCACGATCACAAGTAAACTGCAAACATTAAAACTATTTTATATTAAATGCAAATCTAAATATACACGGTTTTCGACAGAGGTAAGCAATTTTTTATTGGCGCGAATCAATTATGTTGTAAACAAACAAAATTACACCAAGTATGCATTGTAGACAAAAAAAGTCTATCAATACTTTCGGTTTTCACCATTAAATTGTAATGTTTCAAAACTGTTCATTCGTGATAGAAATAGGCACTTTTTAGAAAACAAAAAAGTTCTTACAAATGTGTATACATTGTAAATGTGAGGTCAAAAATGTAATATGCTTAAGGCAATGGTAGGGTCGATAAAAAAATATTGTATAAAAACTTACGATTACATTAATATGACCTTAACATTTAAAACTTTACGACAGTCAACATGGTAAAACATTTTCAGGGAGATCTCCGATTTTCAGTTGTTTCGGAACATATAACACTTAGTCAAGAAAGCCTTAGTCTGATAAGTGCAGAGGTGATAAGTTTGTAAGAATATCAAAACATTCAGTAGTATATATGTGTAAGAGAGAATGAAAATATTGTAAAGTAATATTGCATTTTCAGCCATCCAAATTACATATAACTTATTTCCATGTGTCAACAAACATTTTTAAATAACATCGAGCCATTTTACATTTTGAAAACATTAGTGTTCCACCTTGTAAAATTGCAGCAGCCAAAAGTTTTTATTTATTTGATACAAAATAAAAATACCAGACAATCTTTAACAGCTTTTTCACCACACTATGATGTTTTTGGCTGTATTACATACGTTAATTGGTGGCTGAAAGTTACGTTTTGCTGGCCATGCCAGCTGTCATCGTAATTTGGGGACCGAGCAGGTTTTTACAGGCCGGGGCCGCAAAATCAGCTGTCCGCTTACTTAGGCCTACTTAAAACATGAATGCATTTTAAATACACAATCAAAATCCATAACATTGCAATAGAATTGTGTTATTGTCACCGTTGCCTAGCAACTATTTATTTTTATTTTTGCTGATTCCTCAAATTATTTATTCACATAACCTTAAAGTTGTAGTTGTGTTGACTATCAGTGTGCATTATTATAGTGGTGAATAGTGGTAATAGGGTATAGTGTGGTGAAAAATAGCGTTCGTACCACGGACCGAAATGGTTTTGCAGCTCTCGATCGATTTAAGTTCTCGACTTCGTCTCGAACTTAAAAACTATCTCGAGCCGGCAAAACCTCATTTTCGGCCCTAGGTACGAAATATACTATTTCAAGCTATGTAATGGTCATATAGAAACCATAATTTTTACAAAAGGATTAAGCTATAAAAAAAACACTTTTAAAAATACATTTATGTTTTTTGGTAGGAATAGGTAAGGAATTGAATCTCATGGTAATGTAATATAGTTGTATAAACAAGTTTGAACTGCTCTACAGTCTTGGTATACTAGTTTGTATTGATGAGGGGAAATCCCTTCAAACTTTACTTTACTCAGACAGTCTAATATAATGTGATTATGAATTATGATGAGTTTGTAAATCCAATTCTGTTTGTAATTTATTGTCAGATTAAATATTAATCTTTATAGTTGTTATATTGTCTGACCTTTGTATTGTCCATGTGAGTAATTATTATCACATTCATGTTACTTACTATTTTATGAATGAGTTATACTTATAGATTAAACATTTCTTTTCAATTTGAAATTTCTGATTGCTTAGGGAACTTATTCAAGATTCAGTGGTAATGTTAACATTTATGACACTAGACACTTTTAGTCTGTGTAACGAATTTGTTGCAAATAAACCAACCTTTTAATACCCCAAACCTTCATCATTTAAACAATGTTTTCGGATTTTCATTATGTGACTAACTGGCAAAACATTATCACATTTTAAAAAAATTCTGCAGTGAAAAAGCAAAATTTTGGATTGCCTTGCAAGTGAAAACCTAGAAATTAAAGGAAGGGGCAGCACACACCTTGATTGTAAGGAAATAAGGAAAGGCAACACGCTACTACTCAGACTACAAACATCTGACAACTGAATTGAAACTAAAGCTTTGGTACAATAGGCACCATAAACAGACATTGGTAAACTGTGTGTAAAAAAAGCTTTCTTTGTTATATCGGTGGTGTAGACTAAAATAGTGATCAGATGGAATTACAATGAGGAGACTATGTTTTCAGGATGGCAAGCGTAGTTCTGTTATGAAGAGTAGATAGTAGATTGAACCAGATGAAATTCAGCGGACATGGACAATTGGACATTACCTGTTAGTTTTTCACTTGCAAGGTGATACAATTTTATATACTGTAGGTCTAATTCTTTCCTGTAAGTAAATGTTAAATTTTTGCGAGAACTATTAAAATGTTCATAGGAATTCAAAACATATTATTACAATTGAAAATAGAAGACAACACCAAATGATATTCATACTTTTATGTTTTTACGGAAACAAATCAGCTAGTATGTATTGTGAAAATAAATGCCTCCATTACCAAAGTTGGGTACTCTCCTATTCTTTTTACACCAAAGTAAAGAAGTGAAAAAAAACATTTACAGATCTTTTATACTTTGCTCTTTTCAAGGTGTGACTATTACAAAACCAAAGAGAATTTGCACAATCCCTAAATTTACAGTGAAATCAACCGATAATACTTAAGTTACATATACACTACAGTAAATTTACAGAGATACAGTAGTAAAAATAAATTATTAAATTAAAACTACCTCCTTGCAGTCACGTAAAAGGGTGTCATCGGACAGTCGACGAACTACAGTGTCGTAAAACGTACCCTCGGCAGAGAGAAAGACTAGGATCACAGAAGTGAGGGAAAGGCTTCATCGGGAGTCCTTGGCTGTCAGCTTCTCTATGAGCTCTTGTAGAGGTGCTAACTCTCTTCTGTCAATCAGACTGAACTCCTGTCAACAAACCATTATACCATAAGACTAGGATCACAGAAGTGAGGGAAAGGCTTCATCGGGAGTCCTTGGCTGTCAGCTTCTCTATGAGCTCTTGTAGAGGTGCTAACTCTCTTCTGTCAATCATACTGAACTCCTGTCAACAAACCATTATACCATAAGACTAGGATCACAGAAGTGAGGGAAAGGCTTCATCGGGAGTCCTTGGCTGTCAGCTTCTCTATGAGCTCTTGTAGAGGTGCTAACTCTCTTCTGTCAATCAGACTGAACTCCTGTCAACAAACCATTATACCATAAGACTAGGATCACAGAAGTGAGGGAAGGGTTTCATCGGGAGTCCTTGGCTGTCAGCTTCTCTATGAGCTCTTGTAGAGGTGCTAACTCTCTTCTGTCAATCAGACTGAGCTCCTGTCAACAAACCATTATACCATAAGACTAGGATCACAGAAGTGAGGGAAGGGTTTCATCGGGAGTCCTTGGCGGTCAGCTTCTCTATGAGCTCTTGTAGAGGTGCTAACTCTCTTCTGTCAATCAGACTGAACTCCTGTCAACAAACCATTATACCAAAAGACTAGGATCACAGAAGTGAGGGAAGGGTTTCATCGGGAGTCCTTGGCGGTCAGCTTCTCTATGAGCTCTTGTAGAGGTGCTAACTCTCTTCTGTCAATCAGACTGAACTCCTGTCAACAAACCATTATACCATAAGACTAGGATCACAGAAGTGAGGGAAGGGTTTCATCGGGAGTCCTTGGCGGTCAGCTTCTCTATGAGCTCTTGTAGAGGTGCTAACTCTCTTCTGTCAATCAGACTGAACTCCTGTCAACAAACCATTATACCATAAGACTAGGATCACAGAAGTGAGGGAAGGGTTTCATCGGGAGTCCTTGGCGGTCAGCTTCTCTATGAGCTCTTGTCGAGGTGCTAACTCTCTTCTGTCAATCAGACTGAACTCCTGTCAACAACAAACCATTATACCATAAGACTAGGATCACAGAAGTGAGGGAAGGGTTTCATCGGGAGTCCTTGGCGGTCAGCTTCTCTATGAGCTCTTGTAGAGGTGCTAACTCTCTTCTGTCAATCAGACTGAACTCCTGTCAACAAACCATTATACCATAAGACTAGGATCCCAGAAGTGAGGGAAAGGCTTCATCGGGAGTCCTTGGCGGTCAGCTTCTCTATGAGCTCTTGTAGAGATGCTAACTCTCTTCTGTCAATCATACTGAACTCCTGTCAACAAACCATTATACCATAAGACTAGGATCACAGAAGTGAGGGAAGGGCTTCATCGGGAGTCCTTGGCTGTCAGCTTCTCTATGAGCTCTTGTAGAGATGCTAACTCTCTTCTGTCAATCAGACTGAGCTCCTGTCAACAAACCATTATACCATAAGACTAGGATCACAGAAGTGAGGGAAGGGCTTCATCGGGAGTCCTTGGCTGTCAGCTTCTCTATGAGCTCTTGTAGAGGTGCTAACTCTCTTCTGTCAATCAGACTGAGCTCCTGTCAACAAACCATTATACCATAAGACTAGGATCACAGAAGTGAGGGAAGGGCTTCATCGGGAGTCCTTGGCTGTCAGCTTCTCTATGAGCTCTTGTAGAGGTGCTAACTCTCTTCTGTCAATCAGACTGAACTCCTGTCAACAAACCATTATACCATAAGACTAGGATCACAGAAGTGAGGGAAGGGCTTCATCGGTAGTCCTTGGCTGTCAGCTTCTCTATGAGCTCTTGTAGAGATGCTAACTCTCTTCTGTCAATCAGACTGAGCTCCTGTCAACAAACCATTATAACATAAGACTAGGATCACAGAAGTGAGGGAAGGGTTTCATCAGGAGTCCTTGGCTGTCAGCTTCTCTATGAGCTCTTGTAGAGGTGCTAACTCTCTTCTGTCAATCAGACTGAACTCCTGTCAACAAACCATTATACCATAAGACTAGGATCACAGAAGTGAGGGAAGGGTTTCATCGGGAGTCCTTGGCTGTCAGCTTCTCTATGAGCTCTTGTAGAGATGCTAACTCTCTTCTGTCAATCAGACTGAGCTCCTGTCAACAAACCATTATACCATAAGACTAGGATCACAGAAGTGAGGGAAAGGCTTCATCGGGAGTCCTTGGCTGTCAGCTTCTCTATGAGCTCTTGTAGAGGTGCTAACTCTCTTCTGTCAATCAGACTGAACTCCTGTCAACAAACCATTATACCATAAGACTAGGATCACAGAAGTGAGGGAAGGGCTTCATCGGGAGTCCTTGGCTGTCAGCTTCTCTATGAGCTCTTGTAGAGGTGCTAACTCTCTTCTGTCAATCAGACTGAGCTCCTGTCAACAAACCATTATACCATAAGACTAGGATCACAGAAGTGAGGGAAAGGCTTCATCGGGAGTCCTTGGCTGTCAGCTTCTCTATGAGCTCTTGTAGAGGTGCTAACTCTCTTCTGTCAATCAGACTGAGCTCCTGTCAACAAACCATTATACCATAAGACTAGGATCACAGAAGTGAGGGAAGGGCTTCATCGGGAGTCCTTGGCTGTCAGCTTCTCTATGAGCTCTTGTAGAGGTGCTAACTCTCTTCTGTCAATCAGACTGAGCTCCTGTCAACAAACCATTATACCATAAGACTAGGATCACAGAAGTGAGGGAAGGGCTTCATCGGGAGTCCTTGGCTGTCAGCTTCTCTATGAGCTCTTGTAGAGGTGCTAACTCTCTTCTGTCAATCAGACTGAGCTCCTGTCAACAAACCATTATACCATAAGACTAGGATCACAGAAGTGAGGGAAGGGCTTCATCGGGAGTCCTTGGCTGTCAGCTTCTCTATGAGCTCTTGTAGAGGTGCTAACTCTCTTCTGTCAATCAGACTGAACTCCTGTCAACAAACCATTATACCATAAGACTAGGATCACAGAAGTGAGGGAAGGGCTTCATCGGGAGTCCTTGGCTGTCAGCTTCTCTATGAGCTCTTGTAGAGGTGCTAACTCTCTTCTGTCAATCAGACTGAGCTCCTGTCAACAAACCATTATACCATAAGACTAGGATCACAGAAGTGAGGGAAAGGCTTCATCGGGAGTCCTTGGCTGTCAGCTTCTCTATGAGCTCTTGTAGAGGTGCTAACTCTCTTCTGTCAATCAGACTGAGCTCCTGTCAACAAACCATTATACCATAAGACTAGGATCACAGAAGTGAGGGAAGGGCTTCATCGGGAGTCCTTGGCTGTCAGCTTCTCTATGAGCTCTTGTAGAGGTGCTAACTCTCTTCTGTCAATCAGACTGAGCTCCTGTCAACAAACCATTATACCATAAGACTAGGATCACAGAAGTGAGGGAAGGGCTTCATCGGGAGTCCTTGGCTGTCAGCTTCTCTATGAGCTCTTGTAGAGGTGCTAACTCTCTTCTGTCAATCAGACTGAACTCCTGTCAACAAACCATTATACCATAAGACTAGGATCACAGAAATGAGGGAAGGGATCTGGAGTCCTTTGCGGTCAGCTTCCTAAACCGACTTAGCTATTATTTAACCGACTTAGCTTCCTATCAAGGGCTTTATCATGAAACCTCAGCAGTCTATTTCATGAGCTTTTGTAGTTTTAATTTAGTCCATGGAATATAGTTAATGATGATTGGCCCACAAAACCTTATTTCAGACTGCACCTCACAACTAGTAGGGGTTTCAATTGCAGCACACATTTGCTACTTGGATATTGCAACAACGAGCAGTGCAATATCCTTTTGCTTAGATGGTTGGACAGTTACTGAGGAGTTTAACACATCTGTACTTAAAAGTGTGTTATCAGTGCATGGAAGCGTCAGAAAGAAACGTTCCCTACTTATTAGGCTAACATAGCACAAAACTTACAAGGGGACAGAATTGCCCTTGTAACAAAATAAATCTGCCTTTTCAAGCTTTGAACCTAAGGCATGTTTTAATAAAGGTGTTCTTACCTGGACAAAGAAGATGAAGTGTTTAAAGCTGGTGTTGAGATGTGCTTCTTCCCCGAGTTGCACCACTTCAGAAAAGTGTTGGTGGTAAATGTGCGCATATACTCGGAACAACCTCTTTAAGATTGTTTTGGCTATCGAAAGGAAGTTTTTTGGAAAAGGAACACCTACAAACATGGAAATATAAGTAATTGCAGTTACCAGTAATCCTGTGGAGTAGTAACCATCCACAAAAAATACAACAGTATAGCAGTCTATTAATTTTTTGAATTTATAGACTATACACAACTCTTTTAGTAGGACCTATATGTGCAATTGACACCCAAAATACATGTTTTCTTTCCTATTTTTTTTCTAATGGTTAGTTAATGTTATCTTAAGGAATGTAGCAAGCATTTTCAATCTTGATTAGTAAAATTGTGTGGTTTTCCTTTTGCCATTTTCCAGTTTTTAGGCTGGGTTTGTATAACCTTGAAATTTTTATAGACTTTCTCGCCTGAGGATGGGATCAGATTCCAGATCCTGCAACGCTGTGAAAACTTAACATACAGCGTTACGTCTTCGGATGATGACTGCGTCGTTGATTAAGCTAACTTAACTAAACCTTAGATGAACAGTAGCTTGTCCAAAAGATGGATAGCTTTTACTGATCCAAGACATAGGCCTCTAGTTAAGCTTATTTAACGACCTGGTCACCACCCAGAGACCTGATTTGACAATCTACTATGGATCGTGGTAAGCCCATATCTAGATAGGCTAAATAGATTGATTCAAATTTAAACACTTTTAACAACTGAAGATGAAAATTTGCTGCTACTGCTTGCTTTGTAAGCAAAAAAACACTGGTACTTATTTTCAATAATGTTAATCATAACTGGCCAAACTAAGCAGTGCTCTGAAGACATTGAGTACCTTTTTTCAGTCCTAGGATGCTAGGCTCTAGCCCGGGATCATCTTTCACATTACTTCAGGCTACGACTAAGGGTTGCAGCATTATCACTTAGAAAAATTCCATTGGTGATTTGGCAGGATTTGAAGCCGGGACCTCAGGTCCCTCGCTTTACCACTAGACCAGCTTGCTCCTCAGAATAGTACCATTAGGTATACTTTAAAGAGCAAGATAACTGCAGACAGTCTTGAAACAGCAATGTTTACGACTTATGAGCCCAAAACACAACCACTGAGCTGCCAAGCAAAGACTCAATACTAAAAGAGTTCAACTTGTAATACCTGCTACTTGTATGGATTGAAAACCTGATACAGAGCATATTTATACAAAGTGATGTGACGACTGAAGAGTCAAGGGCGGTACTCATTGAGTATCGAGTCAAACGAGGTAATGAGTCTACTTAATAATTCTGTAGGATTCCAGTACTGGACTCGGTAGATTGTTTGTGAATCTGTCGCTAGGCAATTCAAAATACGTTCATTGATGTCGAGGGATCATGACTGGTAATGTTGCGATAGCGGGAAATCATCAAACGGATTTTGCCACAATTGCTGAAAATCATCACCGATGTGTCCGCAATCACAAGAGATAATCTCAAATTGTACCGTGTTCAAATTTTATGACCACTAATTGGCTGCAATCACAAAAAATAGTCACGGGATTTGCAGAAGCGGTTGTAATATAATCGCAAGTTCAAATAAGTAAGTTTTGCTTTTTCAGGTTTGGTTTTGTCCTGGAAATTTTGAACCTGGAAAACCTGGAATTGTCCTTGAGTTTTATTTTGATGGGACGCTGAACACCCTACTTATGACTTGTGAGGGACTGTCATCCTGTTCCACTCGTGGTTCAGGTTCTTTTGTTGTTTTTTGCATAATTTTTGAAAATCATGGCTGCACAACCCTACACGTTATTTCACAGCCCCGAAGTACGGTAGTGACAGCACGAGGTGAAGGAGGGGAAGTGATAGCCTGTCTGCTTGTGGACTCCTGTGGCTGTGTGCATTACAAAAAAATCCTTCCGCCTGCAGGAGTCCGTTCTCATGAGTCCGTCTGTCTCTGTGTGTGCCGGCCTTTAGTCAGTTGCATTACCGACTAAGCCACTAACTCACCAAGCCACTTACCAGCTCACCTAATAAACTTGATAATTTTATCTTACAAATCATTTGACACTCACCAATCTTGGAGGGGAACAGAGTTTCATCGTCTAGTTGATCCTGAACCCATGTCATCAAGTAGTCAATGTACTTGGGGGCCGAGCACTTGATTGGTTTTTTTACCGTGTGTCCGTCTGCCCAGTGGTACTCGTACTTAGGCCCTGCAGACATGATGGGGCAACTCTCCTCTGTGCAGAATTCTGTGATTGTGCCATACAGCATGTTGATCTGGTTGAAGAAATCCACTGCTGCAAAGTTAAAAATCACGGTTAGTAAATGAGTAGGCCTAGGCTACATTTCAGTAGGCTTTAGGATAAACTCAACCTCATGTTTCATAGTCATTGTTTTTAATGATGTACGAACGGTATTGATTTTTACTGGAATCTTTTTTAATATGCTGTAAAGATAATTTTTGCAAGGTTATGAGTTGTAATGATCTCCCTCATTAATAGCCTACCTAATTTTAACATTTTCAGAATTGGGTGTGTTATAAATGTATCTTACGATTAAAAGTCTATCTATAAGCCAAAATGTCGATACATCCTTTAAAGTTTAAATTAAATTTTGGAGCAAATGATTTAAAACGTCATTAGGCTTGCATTATGAATATAATAGCTTATATTATTGCTCCTGCGAGCTAACATTTTGCAACAGAAATATGTTGAGCTGCAACACAAAACTATTCTGCAATGTTAATGTCATCGGTTTTTTAATTTTCTTCAACCGATTCCAGAACAAATCTCAATGATGTAGCCTATTATTTTTTTTGTTGAGCCTAGGTAGCTTAAATGAGGGGGGGAGCTCATACAAGGGGGCACTCCATACATCCCCTGGATATTTTATATGACAAACACAAAAAAAAGGCAAACAAACTGAATGAATAAAAAAGCACTTTTTCAAAATAACACAAATTATAATATTGCTGCAGACAAGCCATTAGGCCTAATGGATTTTGAAGCTAAATTGTGTAAGTTTGTAACTTGTATTTTTTGAAAATAAATAGATAACTTAGTTGACAAATATTTGTCCAAAAGTAAATTTAAAATGTTGTTAAAATTGCGTTTTGGGGGTGTGGACGGGCAGGTAGCGCGGGGTCATTGTGTGCCAATCGGTACGCACAAACACACGTCTACTACTACTGTAGTAAAAACGCGACTCCGTACCTACGCACGCGCAGCGGCAAACTTCATTGCCTTTAGACATCAAGCTGCACAATTCTTCATCGATCTTATGTCACTGGCATATTAGCTGTTCCTATTTAGATTATTTAACATGTGTTTAACGAACTTACTATTCACTGCTACCCATTCATTCAGATCCTCCCCTTCAGGTAACATAACAGCCAATCGAAGATTCCCCGAGCCTAGAGTAGCTGCTGCATGTTTCATCAAATCATACTGATGTGTTCCCTCTGGAATATTTTTCTTAGGTTTGAAAGTCTTTGAAGACCGACTTCCACTATAAAAAAAGTAACAAGAAAATTATTAAAGACAGGAAATTAATTAAGTTTTTACTGTCAAGTAAAGAATAGCCGTGTGTTTTAACGTGTATACACTGCATAACAACGTACAATGCATTATTTATAGAGAAGTTAATGTTTCACAACAAATGTCAATGAGAACAAAACAAGTAAAAATGTACTGTAAGTTAGGCCTACATTTGCTCGAAATATGTGCACTGATAATGAACTGAAAAACAAATTCAAATTACATCTAGGCCTAAGTTAAATGTTGCAGACAGTCACTTCAGAAATAAATAGGACTTGCACACTTGGGGGAATTACACAAATTTAAATTGGCCCACAAATCTGAAGTTCAAATTATCCTTAGAGTGTAGGTCGGCTAACAGTAAGTTTTCATGAAAGATTTTTGTTCAGAAAAACCTGAAGTTGATTCCATTTTATTACGCACTTGGGTAGACTTCCATATCTGTTAGCACACACAACTGAATGAAAATATCGATTACCGGTACCTATTCGATTGTTTAATTTCGATATTTTCATTCGGTTGTTTGTGCCAACAGATAAGGAAGTCTACCCATGCACTTTAAAGTGGTTTCAATTTAATTTGGTTTATCACATAGGTAGACGATTTAAAAATATTAATTTATCAGATAGCTAGACTGCAAAGAATCTTTTTATTGCTTTTAAACAGATTCAACAAAAATGCTGATTTCTTCAATTTCAGGCTCCTTGTAATTTTCCCTATCACTTATCATGATAAACCTACATGAAAACAGGCTGCACTTTAGTTTACGTTCTACATTTACTCACATGCTGCAGTTTTGTTAAGGTTAGGTTTAGTTTGGAACAGTTTCATTTTATAATCAGCTGGTAGGCTAGTTAATGTAAAATGTGTAATAGTAAATTTAGGACGTAAACTAAAATGCAACCTAAAAAACACTTCATATATACCTATATAAGAATAACTTCAAAGTGTTCCTACTTTAAATAGCCAACTTGATCGAGTAGCCTATAGAGTGCTTGGTTGAGTTCGGAGAGTTAAATAAAATAATACCGTAAAATAGGCAAAGTTAAGGTTAAGTTAATTACGGGAGTTGAATATCAAAGACCTGCTGATTATTTCACTGAACTGATAGGTAACTTTTATAAGTCAAACTGCAACAGTACCTATCTGAAATGGATACAAAATTGCTTTCTTGAATTTAAGTCAGACATTAATAGACTGGCTGATTGTGACTGTTAAAGGTCACAACTATAAACTATAAACTTTAAAATTATAAAATAAAGTTAGTCTGACCAATTTACTGTTTTAGGCTACTATGGCTCTAATGAAAAATTTTAATCTCCTGATGAATATAAATCTTTTTTAATGATTTCATAGTAGCCTATTAGAGTAATCGTTTTGAATGTCTGTTCTCTTGTTTGAACACTTTGTTACGACGGAATGAACCATCCACTCATTGAAACTATCAAATATGATGAGAAATAAGTGAGAGATCAGTTCTCATACAATGACAATTTCCAAGCATCGTCTGTCTAAGCTTGATTCTTGGTATTTACAATACAAGAGTTTCCCAAAATGAGCAGAAAAGTGTTTAGAAAGATAAAGTTCCTTGCTATGGTCGTTATATTGACCCGTGTTCACCGAGCCTCATTTAATCAAAACCCGCGTTAAGGTCGATTCCCACATATCAGTTACGACACGTCACAGTCCAGTCACCTCAGGCACGTCACAGTTAACAAAAAATGTTCTTTAATTTATGTTTTATTGCGCTATCTACACTCATCCGTTGCAGTCCCGTCAGTCAATTTCAGATTTCTTTCCACCCATATTTTTGGATTGTTCGGACGCCTGACGGACATGTTTGAGGTTAGAAAATAGTGTTATTGTTAGTTAAATGGTTGTGTTTATATTTTGAGTACTGTTTGTAACAATCAACAAGATGGACAGTGAAAATTTGATAGATTAAGTTATAGGTTTATAATTTAAAATTTTTGACTGTAAATTACTGAAAATATTAGAGACAGATGACTAACTGAACCAACTGACAGACAGTTGACTGAAAAAATTGTGGATGCAATTGAGACTGAACTGTAACTGGACTGTAACGGAATTGTGACTGAACTGATATGTGTGAATCAACCTTAATTTGCAACCTTAGGCCTAAAGGTTGATTCACACACATCAGTTCAGTCACAGTTCTGTTACAGTCCAGTTACAGTTCAGTCTCAGTTGCATCTGCAATTTCTCAGTCAATTGTCCGTCAGTTCGTCTCAATCAGTCTTCCGTCTCTAATATTTAAAGTAATTTAATGTACAGTGAAAAATGTTAAATTATAAACCTATATTCTATCAAATTATCACTGGCACTCTTGTTGATTGTTACAAACAGTGCTCAAAATATAAACACAACCATTTAAATAACAATTAACACTATTTTCTAACCTCAAACAGTTCCGTCAAGCGTCCGAATAATCTAAAACTAACTTATCGGTGGAAAGAGATCTGAAATTGACTGTCGGATGCCGGCAGAGAGACTGACGGGACTGCAACGGATGAGTGTAGATAGGGCAATAGAAAATCTATTAAAGAATATTTTTGTTAACTGTGACGTGCCTGAAGAAGTGGCTGGGCTGTGACGTTCCGTAACTGATGTGCGTGAATCGACCTTAAAACCTCACACAAAATAAACAACTTGGAATACCATAAAATGTAAAAATCACATCCAAGATCCAATCTAAAGAGGAGAAAGGAATAGGCCTAGTAGGCTACTAGTGCTACTATGGTCTTATCATTAATAACTAGGCTACTGGTATTAAAAGACAACTTCAGTTAGTAATTTTCTCGAATTAGGGTTTCAATACAAGAAATGTAAAATAAGTATGAATCAATCAATTGAGATAAAAATGTAAGGGAGAAAACTTACAACAAGAAACTCATCGCAGTATGATTGAGTGAGTAAACAAAGGTTCCAATGTCAAGTAGTTCTAAATAAACGTTTATAGAATTATTTTAAAACATTTTAAAGAGGAAAAGAAATAAGAAAAATAATAGTATCCTGTAGAACACGAAATTATAAAAGCCACAAAATAAACAACACAATCTAATGTTGCAAACCGAGAACGTAAGTTAAGTTGTAACACAAGTAAGTTTCTTGGTTTCTTCACCACCATGGATTAGTCAGCTGGAGCCTGGAGCTGGCTAAACTGACAAAGACCAAAAACAGCTGACTAAGTCTGAAAAAATGATAATGATGATCCATTAATATTACGGAAAGTCAAATTAAAATGATATAGCATTGATTATATGTATTCCAAGATCCTCTTTTGGGAGATGAGATATACATTTAATGGATGTGGTTGAAACAGCTGTTTTGTTTGGAACCGGCTAGTGGTAATTTGTGTATTTTTACTTTCTCCCCCTATACCATAGTATATGGAGAAAGTATTGTTTTCGTCAAAATTTTAGAGTTTGAGTTTTGAGTTATCCGTTTTGGGTACCCCTGGACCCATGGTTTTAATCCATGGTATCTCCAGGCGATTTTTCATTTTTATAAATTTGGATTTTTAATGTTGATTTTCCTATAAAACCCCATAAAATAACGAAAAAATTGGATATTCCAATAAATGGCCGAAACGATTTTGATAAAAATTTAGTATGTTGTATCCCTTTAAATTTTGAACAAAATGGTACAAGTCCCCTTTCTGTAAAAATTACGGTTCAAAAGTTATTGTAAATTATGTTATTTTCCCACAAAACCCCCATAAAATAACGAAAAATATGAATTGAGAAAAAACCGGTTTTTATATAACATAGTATGTTATGATCTTTAAAATTTTGAACTTTTTAATTATTTTGAAATTTTGATTTTTAATAGGGATTTCCCCATAAACGAAAAAATATGATTTTCTCGAATATGGTCGAAACGATTTTGATAACATTTTTGTATGTTATAGTCCTTCCATAATTCTAAAACAAAAATGTACAAATCCCATTTCCTGATGTTGCCACTTCAAAGGCCACGGCCTGGGACCCATTTCATAATAAACTACAAACTACAAGTTACAAGTTACAACTTGTAACTTGTAATTTCCATTAGATTTGCATTGGGCGATCAGCTGATTTACTAATAATATTAGTTTGTACTTTATTATGAAATGGGCCCCAGGAGGTAAAGGTGGCCGTGATATAGTTCAGCTTTTTAATTGGCTCTAGAAAAATGCCAAATGAATTGCAGATATGAAAAATACAGAAAATACTCACCCAATAGAGAACAATTATTGTTTTTCACATTCACTCACCACACTACACTAACTTGCACTCGTTCATTCCCAATCCCACTAAACGTTTGTTTGTTTTTGTTTTCAGTTTTACTCCCCACGGCCCACTCCCCTAATGTCACTGGATAGTGATGTGCTACTGTCTATATATTTGTGGGTTTTAATTAGCTGAAGATAATGAAAAGAGAAAAACAAATAAAATCAGTTAAGAATTTGAGTAACCCTAGACAACATGGCCAAAAGAGTTGGAGATATTCTTCTCATATCCATCGAATTTTGCTTTTAAGTTTAGGTTGGTATTTTATAGGTTATGATAGGAATAGGATTTGTTGTATCGATTGATTTGATTTTATAAAATTACATTACCTATTATCGATTGATAATTTCGTATAATAATGATAATATCGATTTTATATTCAGGCCTAAACGGAACAAAAATCTGTATAGGCCTAAATCTAAATATAAGTAAACTTAGTCACATAAGTCAGATTGGGTACAGTATCTTTACTGGGCTATGCTAATATCAATTGAAATTATCGAATTGAAAATGTCAATTTAAAATATATATTTTTAACTTTATCAATTATAAAAAAAACCAGTTCTAAAAATAAACTGTCATAACCTATCTAGGCCTAAGTAACCAAACTTACTGATAGGCCTAATGAAAAAATCAAATAAAGGTTTACTAATCGGATTGATAGTTCCAATCGATATTAGCACAGCCCAGTTAAAAAACTGTACCCATAAATACAAGTGTAACTTGATTTCACTGAAGTTTTAGTTTTTACTAGGCCTATTTATTTTGAAACAAACCACAGTAATGCTCGGGAAACACACAATACAATACTGTATAAACAAACACAAGGCACGCTGGTTTACATAAGCCTAAGCAATAACCTAACATCCAAAAGCATAATAATAAGGTATTCCCGCTAGATTGACAAATCAAATGTTTAAAAAAATTGGTTCCACGCAGTCTGAGAGCGGCAGACAGCGTGACGCTCAATGCCACAGCCATCCGTATAACCTCAACACTCATGACTTTAGAATGCTATATGAAACTAATCCGCTCTTTTTTCGTTTACCAACGCATATTTTTCAAGTACTACAGCTCTTTAGCTTTAATTTGAGTTGTGGTAAGAACGTTTACTGGTAAATATGCGTTTGCTACAATGAATTTACAAAATGCAGATTAGATTGGCGGCGGGCATTTCTCGCGCAGACACCAGGCGCCGATGTCATCGGCAGCTGGCATTTCTCGCGACGGAAGGTGATGGCACTTCTCGGCTTTTGCCACTCAAAGGGTTAAATAGGTTTAATTGTAAATCAATTCAGACAAATGGAAATTCGCTTAGTCGGCAGGTTTGCTGCGGCGGGGGTATTGATCATAGAATGGGACTGTCGATTAATTTCTTCTTAACAAAGTTTTCAAAGTTAAATCAGAACTCATAAGAGACACTTTAAAGCAGCAAAGTATTTTTCATGGTTTCATGTCCTAGGCCTAGGTCTGTAACTTAACTGTAATTAAAACTTACATATACTTAAATTGGGCTAGGCCTACATATTTCTAGATTAAATGAACTGTTCATATTAAGTTACATTCACTATTTCAGCGCAGACATGTTAGCATTTTCAGTTTTCCTGCTGACAATTGTGTTCTTTGGGCCTTACGAAGTATGAACACTCCAAACTGATAACTGTAGCTCCAAGTTAACTTAATTACCAAAGCCGCGTTGTTGACCAGCATAGCTGGATGAACTGTGCCAATTTTTAAATATAAATAACTTATCAATTATTAACATCAACAAAATAACTTGTATCTTTCAAGGAAATAAATTTGAATTTGAAGAAGCCCATCTCGCACAACCCTGGCAAAATTTTTTTTCGGAAGACTGCTGATCTCTGGGGGGAGCTTGTTGAACAACTTCTAAGAAAAAGCAGGAAAACTGCGCTGTATTCCCGTGAGGCGGAATCTATGAATGTCAATTTTGCTTCTGCTACGTGTATTAAAGCAATGAACATCTCCTCTGGTCCTAGCTCAATGTTCGACCTGACGTGTACAAGGGAGGAAAATATACTTATACTGCCCAATAACAGTATGCACCTTTAGCCTTCTAAAGATTGGCTTACAGTGTTCCAAAGGAGCGATAGATGTTATGGCTCTCACTCAAGGCAGATTTTTGTAGTCTGAGCACTTCATCACACCCTGAAGCATGGCCCCAGAGAAGTAGGCCTGTGCCGTAAGTAATGTGACTATGGAACAGTCCGTGGTAGATGTTTATAAGAAAGGCTTCACTTAATCTACTCTTTAGCCTACGCAGCAGAAAGACAACTCTAGATAACTTTTTGCACGTTTCATCAATTTGAGGTTGCCAACTTAATTTCCTGTCCATGGTGAAGCCCAGAAGTTTAACTTCTTGGGGTTGGTGGTGTTTTGATACGGCCAAATCTTGACTTAAACTGCAGACAATCTGTTGTGTTTTATCGCCATTGACTTGAAATTTGTTGTTTCTAAACCATATCTCTGCTAAAGCAAGGTCAGCAGCTGTCGCCTCTCTGATTCCGTCCAAGCTTGCTCCTCCCCTAATCAGTGTGGTGTCGTCTGCGTAAAGGAGAGCTTCCTCCCTACCACTGAAGTCGTTTAGGAGAAAGAGCAGAGGGCCCAGTATTGATCCTTGGGGGACTCCATGTTCGACCAGAAGTTCACCAGAGGGAGCACCCCTAACCACAACAACATGCTTCCTACCTCTCAATTACGACTTGAAGGTTTCCAGTACGACACCAGTTGCTCCATAACATTCAAGCTTTCTTAAAAGGACATCATGTGAGGCAATTTCTAAAGCCTTACTCAGATCTAGGAGTGTCAAACTATAGTTCGGCCGCATAGAAAACGACCTGTGTGCTAATGCTAAACCAATGCTATAGGAGGTCGCTTTCTAAGCGGCCGAACTATAATTGACTCTTGGTTCTCAAAAGCCTCAGATATCCTTTCAGCAACCCGAAGCAAGGCAGTTGAAGTCGAGCGGCCCCTCCTATAACCATGCTGAGAATCCAAGAAGAGTTCATTCTGGTCCAGATGTTCGACCAGTTGATCATACATGACCCTTTCAAAAACCTTAGATATCACAGGAAGAATAGCAATTGGACGATAGCTGGCGATAGAGGCCCTGTCACCTTTCTTATGGACTGGCACAACTCTTGCGGTCTTTAATTCTTCAGGGAATATCCCATGAGCCAGGCAGGTGTTAATAACCAGGGTTAAGGGGTCAACAATATCATTAATCACACCCTTCAAGACCTGGGAGCTCATTCCATAGATGTCCTCACTGGTGGAAGAACGAAGACTGGAAACAATCAAATAACAATGTGCCAACATATCAACAAGTTAATAGGATCTCATAAAAATCCTTAAGCAAAACTTTGATACCAGACTCCATCTAAGTTAACTAAACCTAACCAATTTTTAGTATCAATAAACTAACTGAAGTAAAAGTCTGGCTTTTGGTTAAGTATAAGTCTGGTTACTTATCAAATCAACCCAAGTTAGGCTAACTTACTTTTATGTCTGATAACACAATTGAGTCTGATATCAAGGTTCTGCCAAATGCGGATAAGTTAGACCTAACTTATATAATAGGACGTAGTCTATAATTGACCGATTTTTTTTAGATAAATATGGTTTCACATAATTTACACAAGCACGCTACCGTACATAGCCTACATTTTTGTTTAGCTTGACTTGTCTTGGTACTAATGGAATTGCAATTTACAGCCTGTGGTTTCGCTCTCCTCCATAATTACCATGTTTCAACGATGTTTGAGAACGATCGACATTTTTCTCATTTGTCAACTTTGGAAAGAGAAATGACATTTCACAGTGAAATGGTGAGATGAGTTTTTAAATAGGCTAAGCTCAAAATTAATTAGGCCTATTTAAGTTATATTTTCATTATAAGCCTACATGATGGTAACTTAGCCTTTTACTTTTATATCTTTCTAATGGAGTTAGTGTATTTATAGCTGAGCCGCGTTTCTTTGACAACTAGGCCTTTAGTTACCAACAAATTACGTTTATAAAAAAGATTTAAATTCAAACTCTTTTTTTGTACAGGAACTTGACTTGTATATCAATTTTTAGATAGGAACACTGTGAGCCAATGATTTTAGCTAGCGCTATAGACTAACCAACACAAGTAGACTCCCCATCCCATTGTAAATTTTGAAGCTCGTTTTCGTGTCTAGTTCATTTCCGGTGACACTGGTGGTTAGGTGTCGACAAAATTTTGTTTCTATTATTATAGAGTTAATTTAATGATTTGTGCTTTACTGTTTTGTTATATAACTAAAAGATGAGTTAGTGTTTGTGATTAAATATCGTTTTATTTGGTTAAACAGGGTTTTTAATGACTAAATAAGAATAATCAAATTGTAAACAAAAAACGACCTCTACAGTGCAACCGGACAAAACTAACGATAAAATTGGCTTCAAGTGTTCCATAAGGATGGGAAATCTACTAAGGGAGTATGTTTTATCCATGCTAGCAGTGTAATGAAATTTCATCTTTGATAACTAAAGTGGTCGATAGCAACTTATTTTTTCAGAACTAGCCTATTTCTCCACCTTTTTTCAAACACCTAACGTTTGTCTCTCTAACTCAAACCATTGTTATCTCCTTTAACTTGTCCATGATGTTGATTTTAACTTTTTAACTTAACCTTACGTAGAGAATCCTTATAATATTCATTAATTTGATTATGTTTTAAATGTTTCTCGTGTTCAGGGAATGTATTATTCATATTACAAGAGGATTGTTGAAGCACCCACATTTCTTGATGGATTTAATCAGATTACAAATGATAACCTGACTGAATATCCCTCTGTCATCAACACATTGGAGAGGTTCAACCTGCTTCCAGAAGTAAGTAACGGTTTTTTATAACCATCCTTAAGTTTTTTTTATATCTTATGAGATAAACTATAGGTCTTCCTTGATTTCATGATATTGAAGATATTACAACGAAAGCCTAACATAAGACCCCTCTCCTTTTCATTCCCCACCATTCTCCTCATTCCTTCCCACCATTTATTGTTGATATTGTAGCCTAATATAAAACTACAAAAAGTTGTATAATAACAACAGAATTATTATTCTTTTGGCAAATTATCTTGGAAATAGTGTTTAAGTTAAGACTGATTTATTTTTTAAGTTAAAGAAATACCCAAATTCATCTTTCCTTTGCATCCTGTGTCAAATTGAGCCTTGTCGTTTGGTTGTATCTCAAATACAAAACAACTTTTAAGAATACTCTTCTTTCTTGGTGAATTGGGCCTAATTGTAAAACTAAAATAAATAGCCTATAAAATTTCATTTCCCTTAAAGTGCAATAAACCAGATCTCCTAAATATCCTAGAGAAGATTTTAAATTAATCTTTAAGCAAGTATTTTATATAGGCTATGTTAGGCCTACTATTGTTGTTTCTTGATACACATAGGCTATCTGTTTTTTTTATCTGTGTTAAAAAGTATTGTTCATTAGAAAATTTAACTAGGTACATAGAGATTTAAACTTTACATAGGAAGCGACCTGGTGGTAAACCAGGGGCTTTACTCCCTAATGTCGTGGATTTTATTTATTTTATTTTATTTTTATTTTTATTTACCAACGGCAATACACAAATATACAAAGATAGTCAGTAGTTTGACAGCTTCAACAGTGAATATTTGTGCTTATGACTAGATTAACAGAAACGAAATTGATAACAATAATAGACAATGAAATGCGTAAACAACAATAATAAATAATTAAATTAACAACAATACAAATGATTTGAGATAACATGCAATATATATTTATAACAGAAAAAACAAAGAGAAATTATTATTGGTCGACTCGCTCCCCTGCTGCCATTCGCCTAACAGCCACCAAACTGGAAGCGAAAAAGTCGACCGACGAACATATTTCGTTCCCGGAGCGCATCAGACGTGGTATGGGGCAGAAGCGTAGATAGCTGGTCGAAGCATGGTCTAGCTCAAACAAGCGTTAATGCCTGGTGCTTCTGGGAACGTACAGATTGATCCTCTCGAGCAGAAAAGGGCTGCTGATCTGGTTGTTTAGCAGCTTGAAGAGGAAGGCAACATCAGCAACTCTTCTTCTACACTCTAAGCTTTGGAGACCATAAGCTCACGGAAATCATCCATTAATACATGGATGGGATTCAAATCCCGTCAATCATCAATGGCTGTAATGTGATAGTGCCGAGACCCTATAGGCCTATCTTGAAGTAATGTATCATAAACATTCTTAAGCTAGAGCCTAGTGTTCTAGGATGTGAAGAGAAGACAGAAATAGTAAACTTAAAATAATATTTCTGTTACAGTTGGTGATTGGAGGTTTATACCGTGGGTTTGCCCAGGTCACAGACATGCTTGGTATCGCTACGAAGCAGTGTTGGCAGGTAGAGAGAGGCAATGGTCTGCCGCCAGTCACCAGCTGTGAGGGTCTGGGAGATCCGACATACTTCTACTTGGAGGCAGCCTGGTGTTGCGCCAGCCTCACCACTGCCTTCCTCTTCCTCTACGCTGTTTATTTGAGGTTAGTTGCCAATGTAAGAGACTACGACCTTTGTTTGTTCTTGCCAATATAAGTAACAAAAATTGTATTATTGAATAAGAAGGAATGGATACAGCACTAACTTCAAACAGTGCCAGTTTTGTGATAGCCATCCCATGTCTTTCTTCTGAAGAAACCCCCACATAGTGGCTAAGTTAAATTTCAAGTTATTTTTGTTGAACATTTTGTGTGCTTTCAAATGCCTGTAATTCTTTTCTAAGATGAGCTAGTTGCTTAACTATTTGTTCTTCCTTTTGTATGCAAAAGCCATTTTTGAAAAAAAGAGTTCAGCTTACCTAGCTTAAACCATAGATTTTTAATCTATACCTAGCTCAAAGGCTAATGTTAAAATGCTCCAAAACACTTATATTTTGTTGGTAGTTCATCTTATTCAAAGAGTGGAGTACTATTTCTCACCAATTTACTTTAAGAAGTAGTTTAAGTGGGGTGTTTTATGGTATAATTTTTCAGAATTTCTAGTGGTTTGCTAAAAAATTGGTACCATAAAGTAACTGAGAAGATAATTGATGGATGATATGAATATAAAATGAATGAATGAATAAAATGTTATCGAGAGGTTAAGGAAAATCCAATTGGCTGATTAGGATTATTATGTACAAGGATAGGAATCAGCTAGCTTACCTGGTAGATAGAGTCCAGATTAGCTTTGGTAACACTCATAAAACAAATAACACAACACAGAATACCCCCGCCGCAGCAAACCTGCCGACTAAGCAAATTTCCATTTGTCTGAATTGATTTGCAATCATTGCAATCATTATGTTATTTAAATAGATTTGCCAATCAAATCTATAACATAAGGTTTAACGAGTACCTTGGTTTGCTGCTACAAGGAAACTAATAAAGCAAGTTTTTTTGTTAAATATTAATAGCTCATAAAATAAATAAATTGACCAAGTTTGATCCAAATATATCAATAAACAAACAAACTACATCATTTTACAATATTCTCCATAAGAATAAAATTTTTTCCCTAGGACGCTAGGCATGAGCCTGGGATTGTTTTTTACATTACTTCAGGCTAGACCTAGGGGACTGAGATCCCGCGTTCTAACCACTACGCCAGCTCGCTCTCCAACAATATTCTCCATAAGAATAACATGGGAATTTTAAATTTACAATTTTTTGAATTTTCTCCATTACCAATAAAAACAAATTGATATACTAAACTATTTGTTTTTTTATGCTCTTTAAAAAGGTTAAATTGGGACATTTTGTGTTTTGAGTTTCAAAAATGAGAAAAACCATTTTTTTTTCCTATAAAAGCCCCCGTTCCCATGATCTGATCATGCTGGTTCGCGAACTCATTCAAGTTTATCCCGCCTTACACCTTCAAACCAAATTTCATTAAAATCGGACAAAAGTTACTCAAGTTATCGCGTTCACGGACACACATATATATATATAAATCTATATATATATATACATACTAGCTGTACCCGCGGGCTTCGCCCCGTTTAACTTCATAAGTATTCGCATGGCTCATTCACGTCCTGGTTGAAGTTCGTTCGCTAAGCTCACTCACCTTTAGGTTGGAGCTCGTTCGCTGCGCTCACTTGCCTTCAGGTTAGCTCGTTCGCTATGCTAACTCGCCTCTAGGTTGAAGTTCGTTCGCTACGCTCACTCACCTTTTGGTTGGAAATTAGCTGTTGTCATAAATTTAGAAAAAAAAATAATAGTGCTGCACCCTGTTGGTAATCCTTGTAACTTTTATGCTATTGAACATCATAGAACAGAACCAACTTGTTTAATTGAAACAGCTGTTAAGATTCATTAATTCCTTTTAAATATGAAAAATCATAAGATTAACATTTGGCCTCTGGGGACATCAATATGAAAAAGTAAATCGGTCCCGGGTCTAGGTCTTACCATGCCACCTAAGGTAATAGCTTACTTCCCTATAGGGAAATTCGCTAAAAAAGAGTAAAAGGACAGACCCTGCTCAGTATAAGAATAGGGATGATTGCAATGGCTAGCCATTGGGCGATGGGATCGCCAACCCCTACGCCAAAAACCCTATATACAGGGTGTTTCAGTAAAGCGTAGCGGGCTATAGAGATTCAGATTCTACATGCAAAAATAAGTCGAAAATGAAGAATAACTTTTTTTCGATTTCGGCTTAGTTTGGCCGTAATCCGCCATTTTGTATTTTTTTGAAAATAATTAATTACTCAAAAACCCTTTGGAGATATTTTTATGAAACTTGGTATAAACTTTAAGTCTACAGGTATAAACATTCTCTGAAAATATCTTTGATCAGGCTCATCAAATTTCAAAATGGCGGCCATTTAAATTTTTTAAAGTAAAACTCAGTGAAAAGCGGCCATTACAAAAAAAAATTTAAATGGTCGCCATTTTGAAACTAGATGAGCCTGATCGAAGATATTTTTGGAGAATGTTTATACCTGTAGACTTAAAGTTTATACTGTACCAAGTTTCATAAAAATATCTCCAAGGGTTTTTGAGTAATTAATTATTTTCAAAAAAATACAAAATGGCAGATTACGGCCAAACTAAGCCGAAATCGAAAAAAAAATATTCTTCATTTTCGACTTATTTTTGCATGTAGAATCTGAATCTGCATAGCCCGCTACGCTTTACTGAAACACCCTGTATAAACAATACATGACAGCTACAGAGCTGTGTCATTCTGTTTACAAATGATGCCAGTAAATGGTGATGAGCCTCGTTGTGTCGTACAAGTGAACTATGGATTTATTCGCGAAATGAGCCCTTACTTATAAAACCGCCCTCGTATTAAATCACAATCTTTCCCTTTCCCTTAGTGTAGAAACATACAGACAGCGTAGCGCAGCGCAACTAAGCATAGCCGAGCACAGCATTGTCCAATACACACGGAGAGCGCAGCGCATTATAGGTTGTAGACGGTCTTAATAAGGTACATCAGTATAGAGGATGGCTCTGTCGAAGACTACACGTATTTGAGTTGTCAAAAATACCTTAAGGTGGCAGTTTTTGATCAGTAGGAGAAGCGTCGGGGTGCATAAAGTGTGTAAAGGCAGGAAAAAACATGGCGAATATCACCTCTTATTTCCCTTAGGAAACACGAGTCTCGGTTTATCAATTACACAAGAATGTTGACTACAACGTTTGATTACATATTTTATTTATTTAGTTTGGTTAAGGATGATTGAGAGAAGCTGACAACTAGTTGGAAGAGACCAATTGGTGCAGAAAAGAGACTAGTATTAACATTAAGCGTGTCTGCAGTCGAATGCGCTCCAATACGCTCTGATAAAAACAAAATTGTTTATTCCTCGGTCGTACGCTGTGCTGCGCTACGCTACGCCGAAATGCGCTATTAGTATGTCATACCTCATTACAATACATGGTTTTGACTTAAAACATGCGCTGCTCTGCGCTACACCCTAGTGCATACATGTATCATTGAACCAACACAGTTTAGCCAAATAATCCAGCCAACTTCCTGAAAAATACTTACCTTAATAGTGCTGATCATGCTTAATGGATAATTCAAATATAAAAAGTTATAAGGGTAGTACAAACCTCTTGGAGTGCTCCAGGTATCCTTTTCTCAGTTTCTTGACTTCAGACTTGTCACACGACTGTCATGACGATCATCTTCTAATGTTGTCCTCTTCTAACATCTCTTCTACCAGTGTCTTGACTCCTCAAATGTAGATCCAGATGACATAGGACCTAACGCCCCTCCCCCCTTAGTCTTTCCAGAGAAATAAAGGATTATTCCTCCAAACAGACTCAAGTCATTAGATCATCCATCCCCACGATGCCCCCCTCTAGCCTATTTCCCCATAACCCCAGACCCTTAACTAGCCTACCAATATACTTCCCACTCCCTAACTCAAAAATGTTAACCCTCCCCCCTTAAACCCCCCAATAACCTACTATTTTTTAAGTTCCCTCGTCCCTGTCTAGCCTACTTTATCCCCCTCCCTGTCTGAAATGGATGATCCAAGGACCTGTTGTATACTTCTCTATACAATAAACCCAAGATTATCAACCCTGAATTGTTACTTGATTCCCTGTAATTAACATGTAAATGCCCTACTTTTAAAGTATTTTAGTAACAATTTTCTTTTGCACTATGTCTTAAACCCATAAAATCTTTTTCATGATAAAATCATATTTCTTTAAAATCTTTTGCCTTTGTATATATATATACACAGGTCATTAGAACTTCCGACTTTCGATGCCCCCCTCTAGCCTACTTCATCCCATAACCCCGGGCCCTGACTAGCCTACCATGATATATCCCACGTCCCTAAGAAAAATGTTGACCCTCCCCCCTTTACAACCCCCCTCTAACCTACTTTTTTTATTCCCTCTCCCTGGCTAGCCTAGCAAGTTCCCCTCCCTGTCGTAGTCGGAAGTACAAAGGACCTGTTCAATAACTTTGAAAAGATTTAACCTAAAAATCTTTCTGGTCCGTTTTTGTTCTCAACGAATTCCCTAGCTAACAACCCCCCACCCCCCCTCAAACCCACACGCACTAACAACCAGACATCTTCTTTTTTGATCCAAGCAAATATCCTCTTCTTTTCAGGGAATCTGGAACATCTGAACATCAATATTGTGGTTAGTAAAAGTTTCAAGATGTCTATAAAGTTAACTAAAATTGCAACTAAGATAAGGTTCTAATAAGACAGAGATAGAAAATTAATTCATTACATTAGTTTTTAATTTACAAATTTGCAATGTTATTTTTTCTTAATGGATAATTCAAATATAAAAAGTTATAACAGTTAGTATTTTACAAACCTGTTGGAGTACTCCAGGTAGCCTTTTCTCAGTTTCTTGACTTCAGACTTCTCATTATGCTGTCATGACGATCATCTTCTAATGTTGTCCTCTTCTAACATCTCTTCTTCCAGTGTCTTGACTCTTCAAATGTAGATCCAGATTACCTAGAACCACCCTCCCCCTGCTATCCCCACTATTCCCGGATAAAAAAGGATTAT